CGTACACAAAACAAAGCACACGACGGGCAGAGGCGGCCAGTTCAAGACGTTCGTTCTAGTGAATAGTCCATCACTAAAAAGCGCGGGGCGCGGACTGAGCTGAACGCCCCGCGCCGCCGTCTGCGTTACTGCATATAAACTGGTTTGTATGATCCACGGCGGGCAGCCGCGGACATGCCGCGCCGCCACTGCCCGCCGGGCACCTGCGGCGCGGTCTTTTTGCCCTCTGTGTGCGTTTGTAGTATAGGATTCACTTTGTGCTATTATTCGCGGCGAAATTGACCGGCCCGCCCCGCCCCGTCGTCTGCAAAGCGCCTTATTCGCGGCGAAATTGACCGGCCCGCCCCGCCCCGTCGTCTGCAAAGCGCCTTAATACAATGGTGTAAAAAAAAGATACCTCAACCTTATAAGAACTTATCAGTACTAATAATGTTGTGCATTCATATTAATGATAGCATTTTCTAATAGGGGTGCTGACGGGATACAGTAAACTAAATTCTATTTTTTCGTATTTACACGTATTTTTTCTTTGGACAATTAACCAAAAAAAATGGTTGCCTGTAAAGTCGGTTTTACGGGCGAAGATTTTACGTGACAACGTCTTTTTCTCGGTAGAATATTTATTGATATGAATATAATTAAATTGCACAATAGGAACAAGGAATTGAATGAAAATAAGAATTGCACAAATTTTAACTATAGAAATATATTTTGTTTACTAAAACATTGTACATGTAAACTTAAACTTAACACGAGAGACTCATCGTAACGTTACCGAGCGTTACACTTTTTCATAAGTGACTCCCAGCCGCAACCTAATTTAAGACGTTGTCACGTCAAAAATGACAAAGTTATAGCGCGTCAAAGTTTGGAAGTAGGGGCTCGTGACGTCATTTTTAAGTGAAAATTGTACCAAAACGTGACGTCTTGCGACTTTTCCAATAATATATCTCTGCAATGTTTATATTATGTGAAAAAAGAAAAAAAACCGTGTCCAATACTTTTTGATAATCTACCTGATAAACGAAGAAAAAAAAATAGTCATCATCCCTATTGCCCAATCTTTTTGAACACGAACACCCGCAACTGCAATAAACTTTTTGAACTTTATTTTCTATACTTTGGTACAAATAGTAGTTGTTAGTTGCGTAAAGAATATATAACAAATATTGCAAAGATGTCTTATAATAATATTGCCGAAACTAAGTGCATTTTAAAATATACTAAAGAATTTAATACATAATGGAAGATTTAGAATTTTTATTTTTTTTTAATAAACTGATAAATAGGGAAGATGCATATGTAATATTTATGAAAATTTTATGATTAAAATGTTAAAAAAATATAAAAGAAATGCCACTGCAACGTTTTTATTTTACATAATGTAGTTTTTTAACAATTATTACGAATTAAAAATACTTGAAACGGAACGTATTTTAAAACACCAATCAGCGTTTAGTGACGTCACTCCTGTTATGACAACTTCTTTGAGGTTATGGTTGTTAAAGTAAATATTATTTTATGGGAATATTTATTGCGTTTTTTTACATTTAATAAAAATGGAAGTTGTGTTTATCAAAGCAGACTCCAGGAATTTACCAAGAGTTAGCGTTGACATGGTTTTACCTTTTTTTTGTCCAAAGTGCAGAGTTCTTTAAGTGTAGAAATGAAAGGGACTAAATTACTACGTTATGTATAAATATATAAGTATTAGGTAGGTTACTGATGCGTTTTTACGTACAAGCAGATTAATTAAGCATATAACAAGTATATTCGCCGACTTACGTCAAAGTGATCTTCTCAGCATCGAATTATGGTCTTTGGAGAATAATTGTCATTTCTCTTCGTAGCTTGAAACCACTTTTTTTCAGTTTTGGGTCAGAAGTTCCAGTCAAAAACAATTTATTTGGGAACTTTGTTGAAGTAGATTGGCACAAAACATGAGTCAACACGGCTTTTTTTGGGAATATTAGTGGTATTGTTATGATCACATGATGTTGATGGATAGTCCATTTTAAATTTTTCAAAAAAATATTTCGAAAGTCGAAAAAATATGCAAAAATATGAAAATTTAAAGCCAGCAACGAACAATTACGACCATTGACAGACAGGAGTGACGTCATCGCAACCATAGGTTCGTTTTGGCGCGAAAATTTAAATTGTCAATTTAAAACCGCAAATTTTCCGATAAATCACAATGTTTTAATTTTTTAATATATCTGTGGTTTATTCTACATGGAATTCTTTAAAATGAAAACAAAAATAAAAATATTGCATCTTCCCTATTATTAAAATGTACATTATGAATACATCTTAGTAATTATGAATTTAAGCAAAACGATAGAAGAAGCTGGTTTGTGCTTTGCGAATGTATTGTAAATGCGATAGTTTATTTTTTAAAGCAATGCAGGTGTAATAATATGTATAGAAAAAATATTTACCAGGCGATAACAATTTGGCTTAGTATTGATGAAATTTTTTTAGATCAGTATTTCGACGATAATTATTGTTTTTATTTAAATACTAGCAGTGCCCCGCGTTGTTACCCGCGGTTTATTAGGGATATTTTCCCTGGGTAAAACAAAGCCTATATGTTAATCCAAGGTGTCAGCTAACTCCATACCAAATTTTATTAAAATCGCTCCAGCCGTTTAGACGTAAAGAAGTAACAAACATACACACTCACAAACTTTCGCCTTTATAATATTAGTGTGATAACATCCAAATTAGCAAAAAAAAAGCAAGTGTGCTTATGACCACACGACTGAAGTGAAACTTCTCTAGCTCCAATGATCCCAAATGTATGGACCCAGTGCGGATTGGTGGCTGATAACGGACCCAGTACGGATTGGTGGCTGATAACGGGCCCAGCGCGAATTGGTGGGTGACAATGGACCCAGGGCGGATTGGTGTGTGATAACGGACCCAGCGCGGATGGGTGGATGATAAAGGACCCTGTGCGGATTGGTGGCTTTTTTTCTATCAACATATCTTCAGGTTAAGTTTATGATTTTCAGATCATTGGAGCTAAAGAAGTTTCACTTCAGTCGTGTGGTCATAAACACACTCTTTTTTTACTTTTCGATTCGATTTTCAGCAGTTGTTTTTTTTTTCTCTTTTATTGACTTTATTGTTCCGCCGGCTGAGAATGGCACTTATCTTTCTGACTTTGATTTCGCTAGTTCAATTTTTGACAATAATAAAATTTTCATTAGGTACTACAGGCTGCGTATTGCGAGATTCTTCTACGTCTAAGATAATAAATAATGAATGACGTATACACACATCAAAAGTGTCTAGGGATCAACATATATTTTTGCAATAACTTTTCTCCTGATTGATATTAATTAAAATTTTCTTTAAGGATTCATCAAATAAAGTGTTTTCGTTTGTCACAGTAACGATAAACCAAGTCACCTTTGCATTAATAAAGAAATTTGCCATTTTCCTAATAAAGGGATTTTTGACATTTGAACCACTAACACAAAAGTTCGAAAAAAAGACTGAAATAACAGTTTTCTCTAAAATTTTATTGGGTAACTTAAACAATTAATAATCCGTATTTCTACCGCGAACACTAACAACACAAGAACATCGGTTTGGCATACTCAAAATGAGTTCATCCAAATCATGCTGTGGAATGGCCGCCCATGTTCGTTGCAACAACAAAAAAAGGTCTTCTTGCGACTGGATACCCTCCATATTCGGCAGAGCTCTTCTCTGTAGCATATCCCATGCATGCTCAATCGGGTTCAAGTCTGGCGACTGAGCAGGCCAGGGCAGGACATTGATGTTAGCTGCGGCGAGAGTCTGTCTTACAACTCTTGCGGTCTGCGGTCGTGCATTATCATGCATTAACTGAAATAAGGGACCGATTTGCACTTGTAGAGGAACGATGACGTCTGATACAATCGTCTCAGCATAAATTTGAGCGTTGAGGTTGCCTCTGATCCAAATCAACTCAGTTCTTCCGCCGATCCAAATACCCGCCCATACCATGATGGTTCCACCACTATAAGGATGGACTTCCTGGCAGGATTTTAATCGCTGTTGGCGTCCAGGGGTTCTCCAGTGTCGTATACGTCTTGTATCCGGTCTCATACCAAAACGAGACTCATCAGAAAAGCACACGAAACGCCATTGTTCTTCTGCCCAATTTCTGTGTTCAAGAGCCCATTGATATCGAATCCTACGATTGTGCATTGCTATAGGTGGTACCCGTAGCGGTCTTCGGGAATGAAGGTTCACTTCATGCAAGCGGTTTCTGACTGTTTGGTCGCTAATTAAGTTCCCTGAAGAGTGATGAAGCCTCACGGCTAACATCATGGCGGTTATTTTTGGATCTCTTCGAGTTAAGATTTGAATGTATCGGTCTTGTCTCCGTGTGGTGCAGCGATACCGTCCTCCATGGCGCTCAGCCACGGTACCAGTGCTTCGGTATCGTGTCCAAAGTCGACTGATAACACTCTGACTTGTATTCAGAGCTAAAGCCACAGTACGTTGCCGGGAACCAGCTTCTATCATTCCCACGGCTCTGAGCATTTCTTCCCTGCTTAAATGACGTCGCCGCTCCATAATAACGTTGGTTTTAATCAGTAGTAGGGAAACAGTAGCACTAATAATGTCTTCAATGCGTTGTATGTTTTTATAGGGATAATATTGACAGCTGATTTTCATCTTTTACTCGAATTTGATTCACAGTTCCTGATTCAAATTATGAAATGCACCAAAAAGGATCCATATAAATTTATAAAATCATAAATTTATTACAAAGCCACATCTCAATCTCAAGAAATCCGCATAAAAATGCTTGATCCCTAGACACTTTTGATGTGTGTATTTAGCCAATGTCTAAAATTGAAGCAGTAGAACTCTGAAGTGAGATGAGCATTGCCCTGTTGGTACTTTATTTATTTATCTGCTTCTCTCGTAAATGTTGCGGGAGGAGGACTTTTATTGGACACGGTACCAGGAGCGTATAAAATAAAAAGAGCTTTCAGATGGTGCGTTACGAAGTGTTCCGAAGACAAAACCCCGAAATTTACCATTGTGATGCGTTTGCTCTACGCGAAGTGAGGAATGTGTACAGCGGAATTTATCCTGAAAGCCCAGAGTATGGCCGGATTATAATTATGAATTTTGGTAAGAAATTTTACTCACAAGTCACAACGTGATTCTTATCGCGAAGAGAGAATTTTTCGTAGGTCCTTCGAATCTAGCATGCTAAATGAAATCAATGACGAGCATAATTATTTAAAAAAAGAAGCTCTTAAGTTGTCTTCAAAAACTTGATTAAAAATGATAATTGTACTTTTTAGAGGGTGACGATATAACCTGGAGTACCTATATTAAAGTTAAACAACTTTGACTCATTCAAAGCAACAGTGTTAATTAATAGCAAACGAGTAGGTTATCAAATAAAGGTCTAAGCTAATTCCTTTCCCAAATATGCTATGTAAGAGATAACTGAGAAAAATTTACACATTACGCCCGTGTTGGTTTCAGGCAAATGGGATACAGACGCAGTTACTGCTCTAGACGTGCTCCGGTGCGCTGCGGTCTTGAACGAAGTGGTTTTGGAGCAGCCAAAGATGCAGATACTGGGTATCACGACTATCTTGGACATGGATGGATTCGGCTTTAGACACGTCTGCAGTGTGAACACCTCTACAGTCTACAATATGATCAACCTTTTTGGGGTAATAAACAGACAAATTTTCATTTCCTCAAGCATGCTTGGAAATTTGAGCATTATTTTGACAACCTTCTTCGTGATGAATCAGAATTGCTGTACTGGCCAAAAAAAAAGAGTTGGAGAAATAGGATCTCTTTTACGTGTATAGTCGCTGTGTCGCACAATGGGTTCAGCAAGGTGGATAGAGCGCTGTAAAGCACTTCACCAAGAAGTATGATATGAAAAATGTTGCTTAAGTAATTACAGCTTTGACATTGAACATTAGAAATAGGGACTACAAATTTGTTATCTCGAGCTCTTCGTGCTTCGGAAAGCACTTTAAGCCGTTGCTTTCGTTTGCATTTGCAGTCTTTATTACCTACCAATTTGTGCAAGACCAGAGGCTAGGCTCGCATAATCTGTCATGGTCCTTTCTCCCTATTTCATCCATAGAAAAGGCATGTGCCAAAAGTGACGACATGAATAGATTGATTACAATAGTTAACGTTACTTTGCAGATTGGATTTCCACTAATGGTACATGGCATCCACATTATCAACTACAATTGGTTTTTCAACCCTTTCCTCAGCCTGATGAGGAGATTCATACCCAAATCTATTTGGAAGAGAATACATTTCCACGGTACTGATGTAAGTTCCCTCCAAAAGCACGTTGACATCAAATACCTGCCGCCGAAATATGGAGGAACTGGTATAGAATTCAAGAGTGAAGAATGGTTTGAAAAGATTAACATATACAAAGATGAATGTCTAGTGAGAACATTACGAAACTTGGGATACATTATTAACTAATCTTTATTGTATGATTGAAATACTAATTGCTATAATCTCCCAATAAAAAATTAAAGGGACTAGATGAGGTAGTTTAATACAATGTAGTTAAATTATCAGCTTGACTAAAAAATTTTCTTACAAAGACTTTAAAAAGATCTCATTATAATACTTTGTAGGAATGTGGTATATTTTTAAAGTTAACGTTTTATTATTTTATTTTGTGTGTATTTTCTTTTATAAATACTTACATAATTCCTTTTGACGTGACAACGTCTTAAATTAGGTTGCGGCTGGGAGTCACTTATGAAAAAGTGTAACGCTCGGTAACGTTACGATGAGTCTCTCGTGTTAAGTTTAAGTTTACATGTACAATGTTTTAGTAAACAAAATATATTTCTATAGTTAAAATTTGTGCAATTCTTATTTTCATTCAATTCCTTGTTCCTATTGTGCAATTTAATTATATTCATATCAATAAATATTCTACCGAGAAAAAGACGTTGTCACGTAAAATCTTCGCCCGTAAAACCGACTTTACAGGCAACCATTTTAATGCCATATTTTTTTTTCAACACATTAGCTTGAAAATACATTCATGGAGGTTATATACATTGTTCTAAAGTTCAAAATTACGGGCCATACTAAGGAGTGTATGGTTTAACGTTAACGTTTTACCGCACGCTCCCATACATAGCGCCGTGCGTATCCTTTACGGTTTTTTTATTTTTAGGTTAAACCTCCTTGGAACCGATTCTAATTTATACCTTTGTCTCACTTTAATACGTAATGTGGTTAATTTTCTCTACCCGCACGTGGCGTCATTTGAAATACGCGTCATTCTCTTAGTAGAAAACAGTTTCCTTTGTTACATAAATAAGGTATAGGTATTATTTTCTCGCAAATATGTTGAAAAACATTGTATGACGATCGTGTGTTTTTTCGTGTGTCAATGCATCAGTACCTTATAAATTAGTGGTAAGACTTTTTAATTATTGTTTATAATGTTGGTTCTTTATTGGTGCCTAAGTGTCTGCAATTAAGTAATAAAAGCTTTGTGATTTTTTAAAGGGGTATTTAATTTAGATAGAATGGAACAAAAATGTAATTTCAAAAGAATAAATAACTTTAAAAAAAAGGTTTTTTTAATTGCTAGATTTTAATTCGACATCATGGACCGATACACAGTGTTTTATGGAACCAAAAAAATTTACATGTTCAGGTTCTTACATAAATAGATTATTTATACCCTAAAAAGGCTTGAGTTCAATTTACAGAAGTCTAACTCAAATACTTTTTGAGAAAAAAAATCATGAACTTAGACCTATGAAATCTAGAATATTTTTTTATAAAGTGAATATTAACAATATATTTTTTTAATAAATATGTGTCAATCGGGCATAATCAGAGGCGTATAAACGCGTTTCTTAAGCTTAAAAAAATGCATTGGTTTGGGAGCAGCATTTTTTTTTTGTATTTCGTATTTATTGTTTTTTCTCCCTAAAAACGAAAAAGTGGAACCTAGAACTTAGATAGAAATAAACCGACGGATGTGGTCTATCATACATAAATAAGCCACGTGTCACTTTTGCGGCGTTTAAAAGATTTTAAATTTTTATGCTAGGGTTGACACCGAGTGTTTTATGAAACCAAAAATATTTACACCTTAAGGTTTTTGCATAAATCAATTATTTAAACCTTAATAAAGGCAAGAGTTCAATTCCCAGATCACTATTTTAAGTAAAAAAAAAAAATATGAAGTAGCAAAGTTTTTGAAATTCGCGCATGAAAATATTAACAATTTAATTTCCTCAAAAGACGGTTCCATATCTGTCCATGAGATATTTGCCACTTGCTATAGAATTATTAATGGCATAATTTTGTAATTTTATTTTATTTATAAGTGTCCTAGTTTCCAAGAAATATAGTTTTTTTAAATTTCGATTTTTAATTTTTTTCTCCAAAAATCGGCAAAAGTGGAACCTGGATTTAGTACAGAAAGGTTCTATAAGCCAAGTTCTATCACCCATAAAAAAATCAAGTTTCACTTTTGCGGTTTTAAGAAGTTATGACAGAATTTAGATAAAGGTCAACTTTCATGATCCAGGGTTGAAAAATATGTCCGTTTTTATAGTTGGCACCCGATGACAGTAACAGTTCATAAAATCCTCATGCACGGTGAAGAAATTATTGCGTCCAGTGCACTGCCCATCGGTATGCTATCTGAACAAGCAGCTGAGTCCCGAAATAAATTCTAGCGTTCAGACAGAGAGCATCATTGCCGAAAAATGAACAGGAGAACCACAATGACGGACCTCTTTCACCGTGCCCTAGAATCATCAGACCCGTTTATTTCTATGGCAAATATCAGCCAACGTCGAAAATATTCTAAGCGATTTCCCTTGCCTTCAGCTGTTAGCGAGCTATTACAACCAATTGATGCAGATCGATTGCCGTTATTCGAAGCAGAGGAAGATGCTGAAGATGAAGATTTTTCGAACGTCGCAAATGAAAGCAACCTAGAATTATTAAACGAAGATGATATATTTGTATAAAAGTTAAAGTAGAGGTGTTGCATAAAGAAGGTGCCGGCAGGTGATGACACTATCCTAGATTGATTTTAAATGTGAATGAATTTCTAAATCCAAAATTTCATCACAATCGTTAGATCCGTTTCCGAGAAACCAATTACATACCAATATATTTATATAGGTACATACAATAATTGCTCGTTTATAGTATAGGATGTGTGTTAAATTTTTTCAAACAACATAGTTTATTTTTTCGTTGCCATTTAGCGTGTAAGGCAAAATTAAAATGTGGTCGTCAAAATTAAAACATAAAGTATCTGTTAAGGAGATTTTTATGCTATTTTGATGTCTATGATTTTTTTGTATATTACGTTTTGTTGATGGTTACCTTAGTTACGTTTTCTGTTCTGAATAAAAAACATTGTCTTTTTATGTCCGATATTTTCTCGTTATTTCCAAGCTATCCTTAGACTACCAGCAAAGCTCACCAACATCGTGGTCCTTCGAGTTTACGTAGAAGTTGAGGATAAGGAAATATCACCATAATGTTAACAAGGGCAAAAACTCGCAGCGTGAATGAACTTGCACAAAAGTCGAAAATAATACAGCAATCATCATCAGCGAGTTTTGATGGACATCTAGATACTTCCAAGAGTGTCTGCAATGCATCTAGAAGTGATGGAGCTTCAGCGAAATCCATCTCCAAAACGTCAGTTGTATCCGGCAAGTTATTAAGAACTCAGCTCAAGTTGGAAGCAGCGGAAGAAAAAGCACGGTTACTAGCTGCGGCTGCGGAGGCGGAGGCAAGATTGGAAGAACTTAGGATGCATACAAAGATGGAAGAATTTAGGATGCATACAAAGATGGAAGAGACTAGGATGAAAGCGAAGGTGGAGGCAGCGAGAATGCAGGCATTGGTTGTAGAGAAGAGGCTGGATGCAAGCCTTGCAGAAATCGAAGAGCAACGTTCTCATGCAGGATCAAGTATGACGTCATCGGCACGCAGGACTGCGGAATGGGTAGCGCTACAGAATGTTCCCACTAGTCGCATGACTGCGACACAAAATGCGCGCCACTCGGACTTCAGTACCCCAGCAGCTGAACATGATGGTTGTCAGACGGATCCTGCTGCTCATAAGGATGGAGAATGTTCCATCTCTGCTCCAAACATATCAGTTCCCCTTTATGCCCCCACTGTTCAAGGTAATGTAGAAAACCATACTTTACTAAAATTACTCGACGCAGTACACAATTTAGCTTTAGGTTGCGCGCAAAGTAGTCAGCAGGCGACTGTCAGTGATAAAATATTAAGTCGTTTGGCAACGCCTAAAGAGCTGCCTATGTTTAGAGGTGATCCGTTAGAATGGGTTCATTTTAAATGTTTCTACGAGGAGTCCACCCAGGCTTGCCAATTTTCAAATGCAGAAAATATTTGTCGCCTACGTAAAAGTTTGCAAGGTGAAGCTAGAGAGTGTGTTTTAGCATTGCTCATGGGTAATGTTTCCGCTGAAAGTATCATAAAAACCTTAGAATTACGTTTCGGCCGACCCGAAATTATAATTACAAAAATAGTTAGTCAAATACGAAAAATTCCATCACTGTCAGTGTCATACCATAATGACATAGTGTCATTTTCAATAAAAATAAAAAATTGTGTCGCTGCTGTGAAATCCATAAAGCAGGATGACTACCTACGGAGTCCCGAACTCACGACAGCAATTTTATCTAAGTTACCATGTAGTTTAATTACTCGATGGGCAGATTATGTTCATACTTATCATGATAAAAGTTTTGATATGACACGCTTAGAGCTTTTATCGGAATTTTTAGAGAAAGAGGCCCAAAAGATTTCTAATATCGGTGTTTCTTTATTACATGCTACTTCTGTTCAGAGAAAACCCGATATAAGTCAAACTTATTCAAATTTTCATAAGCCGCAATTAGTGTTCGCACAGTCCAGTGAGACACGGCCGAAAGTTACACTGCAGGGAACTGCGAAATGTCGTTTTTGCTTTAAGCGTTCTGATCACGTTATTACGGATTGTCCGAAATTCAAACGCGCTCTTCGTAAAGAACGATGGAATTTCGTGCGTAGTAATCGACTTTGCCCTAAATGCTTAGTGAGTGACCATAATAAGGAAACATGCGAGGCTCCAGTTTGTAATATTGAGAACTGTGGTTTACCACACCACACGATTCTTCATTGGCCCAATAGGTTTACTGATAGGTGTAATAATGCTTCTGTTGTTGAATCTACTGAGGCAAAAAACACCGATGAACGTGCAGAGGCTAAACCTATCGCGGGGAAGAGTACTAATGTATGTTTATCAAACGACACTGCTTCTAATGTATGTTTATCAAACGTAACAGCTACTGAAATTTCAGCGACGTCTGACCCAGTTAAACCTACACCCTCACAAGTGCTTCTCAAGTATGTGCGCGTCCGGATCCATGGCCCTAATGGTGTCGTTTCAATTGATGCTCTCTTAGACGACGGTTCCACCATCACAATGATTGATGCTAGGGTTGCCGAGAAAGCTGGACTCAAGGGCCGCACTGAAAGTTTAAAAGTACGCGGAGCTTGGGATAGTAGTGTTTTAGTTTGTCAAACGGAACTAATAGCATTAGATATTTCTGGCCAACATGATTTTAACCATTACAGAATTGTAGCACGTACAGTCGATGACATAAATTTACCGATCCAACATTTCAATTCAGATAGTTATGAGCACTTAACTTTAATTAAACCTTACTTATGCTCTGACCCGATGAAGCCTTTAATGATCATAGGTCAGGATAACTATCACTTGCTGGCGCCATTAGAAATAATAGAAGGCGATCCTAACGCAACTCGAACTGTTCTAGGATGGACTATCCATGGGAAGTCAGCACAGAAATCTCGTCCACAGGGAGTTACTGACGCATACGCATTGTTTATGTCAGGCTTAAATGTATCTAAACACAATTTAGATGAACTAAATGAACTTGTTAAACGTTCATACGCTCTAGATGCTTTAGGAGTTAGCACTAAAACTCGACAATGTTCAGAAGATCTTAGGGCTTTGAAGATCCTTGATGCTACATCCAAACAAGTAGGTGACCACTGGGAGGTTGGTCTTCCATGGAAAGATGACTTTGTAAAAATGAAGAATTCATATCCTACTGCGTATATGCGTCTTCAGGGGGTCGAGACCAAGATGAAAAAGAATCCTGATTTTCAGTACCGATACCGGGAAAGGGTACAACATTTGTTAGTAAACAAGTATGCTCACCTTTATGAACAACCAGGTGGTGTACCTGAACCCGATAGGCTGTGGTATTTACCACACTTTGGAGTCGACAATCCCAATAAGAAGAAACTACGACTTGTTTTTGATGCTGCCGCCAAATCTCAAGGCTATTCCCTGAACGACTACCTACTTCAAGGTCCAGATTCACTGGTTTCACTTATCGGTATTTTATTTAGGTTCAGAGAGCACCGGGTTGCAGTGACTGGTGACATCAAAGATATGTTTCTTCGAGTTCAGATTCGAAAGGAAGACCAACATGCTACGCGGTTCCTTTGGAGGGATGACATCACCAATAACAAACCTCCTTTGACGTACGTAATGAACTCCTTAATTTTTGGTGCATGCTGCTCTCCTTTTGTAGCCCAGTATATAAAAAATAAAAATGCCCAGCTTTATATTAAGGAGAAGCCTCGTGCTGTTACAAGCATAATTCAAAATCATTACGTTGATGATCTGATGGACAGTATCGAGACTGAGGATGCAGCCTTACAGTTAGTTCAAGATGTACGAGACATCCACATGAAAGGAGGATTTGAAATCAGAAACTGGACTAGTAACAGTAAAAAAGTTTTAGCTAGCCTACCAGAGGCAGATTTAGGTCCAAGCGCAGTGAAATTTAATATTGACGGAACAAGCGAAGGAGAGAGGACCTTAGGTCTTTACTGGTTTCCAGCAGATGATGTTCTAGCCTTTGATATTTCTCTCAAGCGCATAAGTCAAGAAATTCTTACATGTGTAAAAAGACCAACTAAACGGGAAATACTCAGTGTCATTATGTCAGTATTTGACGTACAAGGTTTTTTAGCTCCTATATCAATTAAATCCCGGATCCTTCTTCAAGATGTTTGGAGAAGTGGATTAGCGTGGGATGAACCAATAAAAGATAAGGAGTTTTCTAAGTGGCGCAAATGGTTAGAAAGCGTGGAGAGATTAAAATCCCTTCGCATACCTAGGTGGTACTTAAACGCTGCACCACAAATTCCAAAAGGAGTTACAGTGAAGCGAGAGCTGCACGTATTTTGTGACGCCTCGACGCAAGCTTATGCTGCTGTCGCGTACTGGCGAATACTAGTTGGCATGAATATATACATTAGTTTCATAGCTAGCAAAAGTCGAGTCGCCCCTTTACGACCAGTTTCCGTACCTCGCATGGAGTTGCAAGGTGCAGTGCTCGCATGCAGGCTAGCGGTTGCCATAGAACACGAGCATACAATAAAGCCAGATAAGCGATTCTTTTGGACGGATTCTTCAACAGTCCTTCTATGGATCACTAGTGACGCCCGTATTTATAAGCCATTTGTTGCGAATCGACTTGGAGAAATTAATGAGCATTCCAAATCTACAGAATGGCGATATGTACCGACAGCGATTAATGTTGCAGACTTTGCTACAAAAGAAGATGTTCATGACCTTCAATACGATCACCAATGGTTTCACGGTCCTCAATTTTTATCTCAAGAAGAGTCTTTGTGGCCTGACGCAAGATTCACCAGAACATCGGTGAACGATGAGGATCTCGAACTTAAGAAAGGAACTGTTTGTACATTAATTGTTACAGCTGAGTCAATGTCCATCCCTAATCCTGTTAGATTTTCATCATGGACACGACTGTTACGTGTAACCGCAGCAGTATTGGTAGCAGTTGAGAAGTTTAAGAAGAAAGAGTCGAGTATAGATTTTAATAAACTAAAACGTGCTGAAGTTTTGATTCTTAGGCTGTGTCAAAGTGAGTCGTTTCCTGAAGAATTAGCACAACTTAAAGAGAATAAACCTTTATCAAAGAAGAGTAGACTATTGAAACTTTCTCCTTATGTTGATGATGAAGGCGTAATACGTATTCAGGGACGCATAGATGCTGCGGCGGATGTCAGTATTGAAACAAAGAGGCCTGTAATTTTAGACGGCTGTCATTACGTTTCTAATTTGATTATTGGTCATTATCATAAATTGTTTGTTCATGCTAATAATGAAACTGTTATAAATGAACTTCGGCAACGATATTGGATTATACGCTTGCGCCCTTCTGTGAGGCGTATTGCTTCTCAATGTTTATTCTGTCGTATAAGGAAAACTACGCCTATGATTCCTAGACAAGGAGATTTACCAGCAGGCCGGATTGCACACAGTCGCCGACCATTTTCACATTGTGGCCTTGATCTTTTTGGACCTATCGATGTAACAGTTGGAAGAAGGCGTGAAAAGAGGTACGGAGTTATATTTACATGTATGACCGTGCGTGCAATACACCTTGAGATTGTTTGTTCATTATCTACGGACAGCCTAATCATGGCTATGCGTAGAATGGCTGCTAGGAGAGGTTGGCCTACAGATTTGTATTCAGACAATGGTACAAACTTACGTGGGGCATATGCTGAGCTTCAAACTTTGCAAACTGTACAAAATTGGCACTTCAATCCACCTCTAAGCCCTCACATGGGTGGCGCCTGGGAGAGGCTTATTCGTAGTGTTAAGACAGCATTAAAAATTATCATGAAAGAAAGAGCACCTCGAGATGAGACTCTCGTGACTTTAATGTGTGAAGTAGAAGCTATAGTCAACAGTCGCCCGTTGACACATGTTTCTGTAAGTCCTTTTGATAACGTTTCGTTAACACCTTTTCATTTTTTGTTAGGCACTTCGTCAAATTTACCGAATATTTCATCTCATTCTCTCGACCTTTGCTCCAGAAAACAGTGGCGTGTGGCTCAAAGGTTAGCTGATATGTTTTGGGCGAGATGGCTCAAAGAGGTTTTGCCATGCTTGACACCGAGAACCATGACCTCTACTAACGACGGTCACCAACTCAAAGTAGGTGACGATGTTCTTGTAGTTGATGCCGCTACAGAGCGAGGATATTGGCCGCGGGGGAAAATCGAAAAAGTCTATCCTGGTGCCGATAACCGAGTGAGAGTCGTTGATGTAAAGACTTCACGAGGGACACTTCGCCGTCGTTGTGTGCAGCGACTAGTGTGCCTGCCTTCAAACCCCAGGGGGGAAGAATGTTAAGGAGATTTTTATGCTATTTTGATGTCTATGATTTTTTTGTATATTACGTTTTGTTGATGGTTACCTTAGTTACGTTTTCTGTTCTGAATAAAAAACATTGTCTTTTTATGTCCGATATTTTCTCGTTATTTCCAAGCTATCCTTAGACTACCAGCAAAGCTCACCAACAGTATCCCTACATTATCACATCTACATTAGGTAGGTAGTATATGTAAGTATATTGTATTCGTCTATAAGTACAACACTTATTCAATTATAATATAATACAATTTATTCAATTGATTGACGGTATTAATAACAAAAAAAAATAACATTTTCATTTAACTCATAGTTAACCTTTGTGACAACCCTAGATCATGAAAGTTGACCTTTATCTAAATTCTGTCATAACTTCTTAAAACCGCAAAAGAGAAACTTGATTTTTTTATGGGTGATAGAACTTGGCTTATAGAACTTTTCTGTACTAAATCCAGGTTAAACTTTTGCCGATTTTTGGAGAAAAAAATTAAAAATCGAAATTTAAAAAAACTATATTTCTTGGAAACTAGGACACTTATAAATAAAATAAAATTACAAAATTATACCATCAATAATTCCTTAGCAATTGGCAAATATCTCATGGACAGATATGGAACCGTCTTTTGAGGAAATTAAATTGTTAATTTTTTCATGCGCAAATTTCAAAAACTTTGCTACTTCATATCTTTTTTTTTTACTTAAAATAGTGATCTGGGAATTGAACTCTTGCCTTTATTAGGGTTTAAATAATTGATTTATGCAAAAACCTTAAGGTGTAAATATTTTTGGTTCTATAAAACACTGTGCGATAGCGAATTCCTAGATGTACCGTGTGATAGAACGTTATTGATACTCAAAGGGTAGAACCAAAATAGATGCGCTAGCATCACTATATAGTTTGTGCAAAATGGTGAATCATTGGTGAATTAGATAAGTAAGTACCTCTGTATATAACAAAATTATGAATCTTGTACCGCCATCTATCGATAGGCTAAGTTATAAATTGCTTACCAAAGCAATGTGAGTCGCGCAGCAAGCAACGTTCTTATATCTCCACGAGATTGCCACAACGTGGCCACAACTGCCAACGTTTTTTATCTGTGTTAGGATTCTACAAAGATATTGGTGTAATTATTTTCGTTAGTGAATTATTTTTATTCAAAATAATACTATTTAAACGAAAATAATTTTTACATTTATTGTTATTTATAATATATTTCTAACATTCAAGTTTACATAGATAAAATTTGTTGCAGGGAAACAATTTAATCTGTGGCGAAATTTAAAAACGCCCTCTGTGAATGTGCTCCCAAACTACAAAAATCAACGCTCTCAGTCAGACTTTCGTTTGCGTCGGAACCAATTTAACTAGGAGAACATGATATTTTAAGAGTTAGCAATAACGCTTTACTGCCAACGTCTATTATTTGGGAACCAGCTCGGTTCAAAGTGGAGCCATTTTAACTAGGAATGCATGAGTTAAAACAACTTGCTTTTATATGTTCATGTAGAATCTATAGGTAGATGTTGCCATTCACAATGTAGATGCTTACTTAGTAGGTGTATTTTCTTAGTAAAAGTGTAGTGTAGAACCACTGATTGTTTATATTACGAAAAAATATTTTTGTATACAATTTAAGAAAATACAATAATTCTTTATACATTTGAAAATATTGCATTATTGCTGATAAGCAAAGGTATAAAAGCAATTACATGAGATCGAAATGTATTATTTATTTATTCATGATAATATTTGTGTAGGTGTTTTTATTATAATAACACTAAGTAATTTTTGTCTCGATACTTGATATTAAATTGATTTCTTACTATTCATGACAAACACTGAAAGATGATGTTGAAAATAAAAAATAATCAAAAAATTGTTTAACCATTAATTACCATCCTATGGTGGATCCTTTTTAGCTCTTGCTCCACCTCAGCCAGTATTGTTGGGTCAATGCCGCTTAAATCGGCTTGTTCTGTGTCATGCTCCTCTGATACACTGTTATCTTCTGATTCCAGACTTTGACTTTCGAACACGTTGTTGTTATCGAAGTAATCAAATTTGTCATGTTCATAATCATTATCATCATCAAACTGTCTGGGACCTTTTTTCATATGTTCTGGCATTTGTTTTGTTCCGTGAATGATCAACCGTAGAGGACCGACTTCGCCAGAATTATGTTCATCGGTCTGAAAATGATTGGTAATTACTAAACCTAATAAAAATTAACTTTAACAAATAAGAGAAAATATTAACTAACTTCATCTAGTACTGTCATTTTCCAAACTCCATTGGAACTCTCACCCCATGTTGCGACTGATGTTAATGGCCAATTTGTAAAGCCATTGGGCGACGTGTCCTTTATCCGAGCACTTAGTAGCGGCACTTTCGTACCTTTGAAATAAAAGTCCACATTATTTTAAACATGCGTAGGATTATGTATACACGCTCTTGTTTTAGTCTACTTACCTCTTGGTGATGTGAGATCGATTTCCAAAGCCCCTCGTCGGCTGTACCGAACGTTCACTATCAGCTCGACATGCTCAATATAATTTATAATACAATCATCTACTTTTATTGGTATCTCTAATATTTCACCAGATGATATATGAGCTCTATTTTCTGATCTGAAAAACAAACAATACTCAAAATTTTAATCCACGAACCTCACATGTTTTGTTTGCATGATTTTAGTAATTCGGGCGTTTTTCACCACACAACCGGTCGAAACCGAACGTCTAATGTACCAAGGCGACATAAAATCAAAGCAATGAAAGTTTCCATATCGCGGGAATAAAAGAATGAAGTATGAAACATAGTATTACAAACTAGCTGACGTAGTCGATCATCATGCGATCATAAAAATGACTCGGATGATAATATGGTGATGTTGCAGTAAACATTGCCGTAAAATATTTAATATTAGGGACACATAAATTGTCGCTTCTTTTTGACAAAAAGGCTACTTGTCCACAGGACAGGCACAGTAGTGGCAGCCTGTTACTAGGAATGCATACTCACGGTGCAGTTTCTATCTGACAAGTGAACTTTTCAGGAACCGTTGTCCAGTTGAGCGCCGCTGCTACGAGGGCACCAGCATTCATTAGTCCAAAACCGAAGCGAATATCAAACCGAAGCCCGACTCTACATTGAAACAATGCCTCATTAATCAATTCAATAGACTATTGTAATTTTATATTTTCAAAAAATAAAACTATCAAATTTATTTATATGTAACCAAGGTATTACTTATAATAACTTATTTAGCATGTTGTAGTTGTAGCATAACATAATTAACAAAAAAGGCAAAAAGAAGATTAACAAATAAGCAGTAAATAAAATAAAGAAAAAAACGGACATGTGCTGTTCACATGCGATAGAAGTGAAACCTACAAAAATGTCTTCAGTCGCCCGCGGCTATATTTGTAACCAGCTATTTTTATTTTATTTCTTGTTATGTTTTTCTTCTTAGATTTTTTTCAAAATATAACTATTCAGGTATTGTAAAATACTGGCCAAAATTAATTTTTCTATTCTTAAATTGTTTCGAAAAATAAGAAACAAAAAATTAAAAAATAGCCGAGCTCAGGATCGATCCACCGATTATTTGGTGTCGACCCCAAGACCGTTCTCGTTGGACTATCTGTCTCTTGAGAGAATTACAAAATTACGTATACATTGTGTAAAATACTGTTGAATTTTCGTTTCATCGAGTTTCAAATCACAACGGTGCTAATGACGTTTTCACTTCAAAGTAGAAATTTGAACACATTTTTACTACTAATTTAAATAGAAAAGTAGACCAATACTAACCCATTAATTTGCCAACCAGGATTATTAGTTAACGGATTGTAGTCCGATGTCCAAACAATCAAATGCTGTACATCTCTCCAAGTTAAGTTTGGACTGAAAAATAATGATAAGATTTATTATTTACTAACATTGAACTATTTAATTACAACTCACTGTTTACTAATGAATTCACTAAATAACAGTATCGTGGATACTGTGCTATGTGATCATCATTGCCTAGAAGAACTTCTGGTTTACTAAAATATACTTAACACAGTGGCAGTTTAATCATAAAAAAAATATCAGTAAAAGCACTCGGGCCTAAGATACACCGGTCAATTGACACTTAATTGTCAAACACATTGATTTGACAGAATGATGATAAATTGCTGTATCATAATATTTATTAATTATATATGTACAGAAATAAATAATATTTAAATACAAATTTCTTAAACCTACTTATAAATAACATCCTATTTACAAAATAAAAAATAAGTCACCCCCATCGCCGCCGTCAGGGATGGTGCCCAATAGGCTGGCAGCATATATATCATAATATATCTTTATATCACGTTGCGATGCTGAAGCTGTGGACTGGTATTTCGGCTATAGGCTTTGTCTTTGGCGATTCTCAAACAGGGATAATGTAGAAAAATTCGGTAACATAACATCCCAAACCTTTTTTAAGGTCTAGACTAGACTGCATTAATAAAAGGGACTTGTTTAATAAATATTATTGTAAATATAAATAATTGGCAATTTCGATTGAATAGTTTAAAAATTCTATTATTTTCTTATAAAATAAACCTAAATAAATAAATATTTCCAACACTCACACCAATTAGCCTAGCCCCAAAGTAAGCACTGTAAGGCTTGTTATGGGATACTAGCGTAACGGATAGAATACATATACTGTACATATAGAAGTATATTTATATAGAAATACATATTAAACATCCATGACTGGAGTACAAATGCTCATTTTCAGCACACAAACATCTGCCCCCATCGGGATTCGAACCCGGGACGACACCATGAAACCAGGCGTGTACAAACCACTCGGCCACGTAGGTCGTAATAATATTTAACATAAAGTTTTATTGAGAGAAGTATAAAAACAATCCTACTATGTAAAATGAAATGTCTGTGCAAGTATTATTTTAATTTATTCCCCATTAGTTTCTTGCGTGCCGCTAAATCCTAGCTTTATAATTACCGAAATAATTTTTTGAAAATATTATTATGTATTTTCTTTTTTGACCTTACCTGTAAAAAATCGACTTCAGTATCCACATAAATTCAACAATATTAAAAATTGCATACAATGTAATCGCGCTCGGTTAATTTTACTCGTTGTACCCTGTCTAGTCGATTAACCAGTCGATAAACTTGCCGTCATGCTCCCACGGAGTATCGAGACAAACAGACCGTACCGATTGGAATACTAGGCGCACATAAACACAAAGAAGAATCAATAGTAAAACTCACTTGGCCTGTAAAGCGAGAGCAATGATACCAGCTGCTAATGGCGCTGCCGCTGATGTCCCTGTGTGCGAAAGAGTGCACGAATCACCGGTGTCTGTTGTCGCCTGCAACAGAGATAAAGATAACTATCCCGCTCTAACTTATTTATAAAGTTATATTCTGGCGTTGTAGTGGTAACGTAACAACTTTTAGTCGTTGTGTACATACATTAAAATGCAACTCTATTAGTGCTATTACTATAGATACGTTCACATCAAAAAGGCTTCACTATATTGAGCGTATCTTAAATGTAAAACACGTTTAAAGTGCAAGGCGGTGTGCATTGTGCAAGGTCAAGACAATCCACTATAATTTGACGTAGTATTCATTCATGATAATATATTATAATAGTTTGAATATTAGTCATAATTTCTGTGAAATCTTCTAATATTTCATAGTGTAATTAGGTTACACTTACAATCTTTTGATCCTTATAAGCACCAGAGGAATATGCCGTCGCCAGAGTAGAAGAACATATTTCCCCGTACCAGGGGAATAAACCATGTTGAGACGCACTCCCTATCGATATCGTGAATATGCTGGATGAGTATCTGTGCAAAGAAGATACAACAAGTTGGACTTAAAACATAAAATTAAATTATATTATAAATACATTTTTAATTATTATTATACTTTTGGTTTATAATTTTATTTAAATATTTAAATTAATAATACAGTTTATGTACGCATGTTGAAAAGAGACTGGCGAGAGATGGAAGTGGGAGTGTCCATTGAACTCGATCCGCCTGGAATCGGGGATCATTGTTACGTCATATTTCGTCCAGATTACTAGGGCGACATAAACAGGTGAAGCTTTGAATATAGGCCGTTTGTCGCGTGATTTTGCTATGTAAACAAACAAAAAAAAGGTCCAGCGAAGTAAAATATGTACATGCATTAGGTAAAAAGTTAAAAAACCTTAACCATTGCAATAATTGGCAACGATTTTGATACACATCATATAAAAAAGAAAAGAAAAAGTTTTATTACTGATCAAACAACATCAGGGGACATCACCACCTATTTAAAATCCGACATTATAATCCGTCTAAAATAAGTTTGGTTTTTGTTAGTGAGTTTAATGTTTTTTTTTGAGTTTATAAAATGTAATAATAATATAACAGTATACAATTTACGAAAATTCGAAAATGCTTTAAAATTAATATAAGAACACAAATTAATATCCATAAACAATGTCTCACCCATCGCAGTTACAGTTGTCTTTGTTCACTCCACCGTTTCCGTTTGCCCATACATAAATTGTGCCTTTTCCACCACGACCCTGTTAAAATTCAAATACACAAATAGAGCTTAAAATTTTTATCGATATATATATAATTTTCTGTAGCTAATACACTGCTAGCAGCAAGCTCGATGCCGACTGCTGTTCGCTTGGCGCGGGCAGGCCAACTATTCCGCGAAAATGTTAACCATGTTCGTCCAATGTACCAGAGCCACATAACATAGATAGAGCTTAACAATCGGTTCTACATAGTTCGTAGCTCGTCCAATCACAACCAAGCAATAAATACCAGTATAGTATTGCGTATTCGTTTAAATTTATTCCTCAATCAATGATCACGTACGAATAATCACGATCATGTATCTATTTATATAAATAAAAACTGATCGCCGAAATGTATTTACGGGTATTAACTTGTGAACGACTGCACCAAATTTGATAATCTATATATATAAAAATGAAACCCGTTTTCCGTTGTCACGACATAACATGAAAACGGCTTGACCGATTTGGCTGATTTTTTTTTGTAGTTTTCTAATACTCTGTACAAGGTTCTTACGGAAAAAAATATAAAGAAAATCTCTCAGAAAGATTGAAAAATATAGCGTAACGAATGTCAACGTCATTCAATTTAAAACAAAAAAATCTGTGGTAATCTGTGACAGGAACAAACACTTATTAGCAAACAAAAAACTTCTTAGTCTTTAAAACAAAACGAACTTTATCAAAATTTAATAAAATTATTGTAAGCGCGGTTATGGACTAGCTGACCCGGCGAACTTCGTACCGTATAGTTTATCAAAAAGCATTAGAATAGAGAGAAGCAGTGAAGGGTATAGAGCAGGGGTGGCCAACCAGTCGATCGCGATCGACCGCTCGATCGCGACTATTAGTTCAGTCGATCTTGGCAAGGCAATAAATATAAATAAGTGGACAGAGTAGTACAGATTTCGCATCGTTATCACCAACTGCTGCACGCATCTTCGTTATCCTGTCCCCTATAGTAATATCTCTTAATAAAACAACAAAGTCCTTAACATAATTGTGTACTGAACTGTGCTGTTTCATTTAAGGTTCCAAGAAGTATGTCATTGGTAGATCGCACAGGGTTTTCACAGTTAACAGTAGATCTTGGTTCTAATCACGTCGGCCACCCCTGGTATAGAGGCTATTAGTTGCTTTCTAGAGCGCGCGTGGTGTTGAGCTCAGTGTTTACTTCAAAATGCAAAGTTGTTCAATAGCGATTTGTAAAAATATGAGTGAAATTGAACCCTATGGAATAAACACTATTATGAAAATATATATGTTGTTTTTTATTTGATAAAAATTAGTAAAGTCCTCAGGTATGGCGAGACCAGGGAAATAAGGATTCATTTTTATATGGAGGATATTATAGATTCCAGTTCAAATTGAATAGGTACTCATACATAAGATAGGTCAGCTATACAAAATAAAGTAGTGCATCAAAGCTACGCTAAGGCGGTACGAAGTTCGCCGGGTCAGCTAGTTACCTATTAATTTTTTAACGATCAATCATCAGTCAAGATAAGCTTGGTTTAAAAGAAAATTTCAAAGTTTTTTTCTTATATATGCATACAAAGGTCATTGATTTTAAAGCCCTGACGCAAAAAGAGGCCTGTTATAAATCTGACGTGTCGAGTTTGGTTGTCTGCCTATAGCATCGTAGCTCCTTAACGAATATACCGAACTTGATGCATTTTTATGATGATGAAATGAATAAAACAAGCATAAAAAAATGGGTGCGTGTACTTATGTAGGCGCGTGAGAAGTTATCCTTCTTTGGCATCGTTTAAAATTAGTTTTTAATTGCATGCAAATAATTAATTACAATAAATTAATAAAATGTCTGGAAAAGGACACAGTCAATAAAGTTCAGTTTTAATTTGAAAAAATAAATAAATAATCAAAATATTCAATTAAAATCGCTACTGAATATAATTTATTGGAACATATGTGATTTGCACTTGTATGAAACTCAAACACGTATTCCGAATATACAAACTAGAAACATGTGGATAAATATTATAAATATGAATACCTATAACTGTTACTTTATTACAAAAAATAAAGATGTGGTTTTTGGTTCTACTACACCAATGGTCAAGAGATGGCGCTGTAGTCTCCTGAATCGCGCTTTGGTTCCGTTGTTCCAGATTAATAAATACTTTTGATAGGCCTTCACAATGCAGTCGTTAGCACCCACAAAATAGAGATTCTATTTCTATTTTGTTGGTAGATTTTCTTAATGTGCGGTAAACACAAAAGTAAAAGCATGAAGTTCATGCTGTTAATTTTTTGTGTTACCAACTTCATGCTGTTAATTTTTTGTGTAACAGTGATGCGCGCGCATCTTAAAATTTCACTCTCATCATTTTTTCAGAACGCGCCTAAAGAAGTATAACTTCAAAAAGTTTCCTTATAATATTACTCTGTTGTAAAATAAAATCTCCTAACCTTGAATAGGATATAGGAATGGAGGCAAAAAATATTACCTTCGTAATGCCCCTTTCGAAGGCTTGATTAGCCAGTCGGCCCGGGCCTTCCACAGTCCTGCCGTCGTCATTAGGACCCCATGAGGCGCTGTAGATATCAACCTTGTCCCAAGCAAAGCCTTATTGAGAAAAAAAGGTTGATATTTTTATTGCTATCTATTTTTAACCCCTAACCACCCCGACGATAGAAGAGGGGTGTTATAAGTTTGACCTGTTTGCGTGTCTGTCTGTCTGTGGCATCGTAGCTCCTATACGAATGGACCGATTAGGCTGAGGTTTTGAATCTGAAATCTGTTGTTTAAATCTGAACGCTGCTGACATGATCGAGAATCGAGATGGTTCTTAGCTAAAGTTTTTTAAGATCTGTTCAGAGGCTTTGAGATTATCAGCTCATTTCAAATTTTAAAAATGGATCTTACAAATAAAGCAGCAATAACTATTGGTTTAAAAAATAGTGCAATTTTACTTTGGAGCATGGAGGTTAGAGAAAAGGAGAACGATCGCTGTAGAAAATAGTATCCCAGAAATATGGACAAAATAAGTGAGGCGCTGTGATCGCTAAGTTGTCTCAACAAAAGCGGGCTAATTTGAAATGACCAATGCCGCCAAGAAAATTTGTACAATATTCAACTAACTTCATCTACTTGTACTCATAAACAGCTAACTTCACAGATACTACTTACCGACGGCAGCGCGGCTGGCGGCTGAAAAATGAACTATAAAATCTACAAATTTTCAAGGACAGGCGGGCTAATGCTTTAGCACGAAGCGATCGTTCTCCTTCTCTCAGTATCAAGTAAGTTTTCAACTACTCGGCTAATTATACCAGATGTAGCTTGTTTCAGCTCATAAGAATAGTCTCAATGAAAAAACTATGAAGGTCCAAGAGTTGAATGCAGTGTGTCTACTAGTAATTTTAAAATAGAGAAATAAAAATTAAATTGGAAATATAAAAATCCCCCGACTAACAAAAATAATCTAAAAGGTGAAAAAATAAAATGTGTTACTACTTAGTACCTTACAGATATATATACAGATTAGTTAGACCCAAACATTGTCAAGTCGGGACTTTTTATATTTAGCAAAAATAATGAAAACGTCTATGTTGGTATTATTACTAAGTAATAGTCTCAGTTTTTAGATTGTTTTTGGGTGTCGGGGGTTTTTTTAAAATTTCCTGTTCGATTTTCTTTTATATAGATTTTTGTATGGGATTGGGAGATTACCCCATGACTCGCCATGCGTACCCAGTGTGGATTGGTAACTTTGTTCCAACTGAGTGTTCCACAACACTTACGTGTGTTTTTTTAATTTATATCCTACAGTCACGATGAGACTTCACCATCACAAACATTAACATCAGGTGGGGTGGAGTCATTTGTCGGACCTATCTATAAAAAAAAGGCTGATATTGTATAATGTACAAAGTCCTTTAAAATAAGGACAGAAAAAACGGTAGTACATAAGACCTTAACCAATAGATTCAAAATTTGATAAGTGAGACATTTCTTTTTTTCTTGATTTATTATTCAATACTATTCATCAAGCGCATTTTATTGTTACCTATTTTAAAACCTGTATATGGCAGGAAAAACATATTAAAAATAACCTACTAATACATTTTTTAACGTTTTCTATGCAGTTTATATTTTTTTCTTAATTTTAGGAGTAATTTTATTCAATATTACCTTTATATACCTTTAAAATACTTTAGTTTTTTTCACAGGTACTTAACAATGCGCAAAAACGATTCTATATTTTTTTCTCGGAATTTCAAAAAAAAATATTTTCTCGAAATTTACCCATAGCAAATTAATCATTTTATTCATTCTACTAGAAGGTCTTGTTTGGCTTTGGCTATCTGTTGAAAACATGAAAAAGCATGTCATACTGTGTGTCGCTCATTTTACATTTTGATCAACTGTCAAACTGCCCCTTTAATATCTGCATACCCCGCAAGATCTTCATTTTATAATTTTAAATGTCACTTAAGTTCAATTGACCTGTAAATAAATACACAGTGATACTTGCTAAGCCTATCTTCTTTATCGGTAAAATATCATTAAATACAGTGTATACGCGCCGAATATGATGCGCAGATGTGTCGTTTTAACTGCGTAAACTTCAACCATATTCTTTCATTCTGTTTCAAAGAGAAATCTAATGAAGAATTAAAGGAGTGAAACGACGAGCTACTATCATGTAATGAGTAAAAATCATCTGTATCTGACATAACTATTAAATATATATAAATATAAAAAAATACTATATTATAAATAACAATATTTAAAAAAAAAGACAAATAACCAATAAAAGAAACTGCACACCTTACCAAGCAACTGTTAGAGATAACAAAAGGCTTAAGCAAATTTATCACTACAAACACATAACAATACATCGATCAGCAAAACGACGACAGGTTGGCACATATAAAATTATAAAAAGAAAATAAATATATTTAAAAGCAATGAAACGTAATAATTACACCAAAATACTAGCAAAACCATAGAATAACAACAAAAAAGGCTGTATAGGTGTAGCCATTGCCTTTATGTTGACATAAATAAAAGTATAAAAAAAAAACGTCAAAAACATAAACATAATGGTGCCAGAATCGACACCAGTGTCAGACATTAATGGCTGTATGGCTGGACCTTTGCCTACCAAAAAAAATGTGAACGACAATAAAAAAAAACAAAAGGTAATGTCAGACGAGATGTCGCACAAGTTTGTTTACGTATTTTTTACTAAAGATTAAGAGTAGGTACCGACGCGTTAATTCTCTAGACATATAAAAAGCAAAAAAAAAAGATTATCAAAGAGCTAAATAACAAGCGCAACCATCACAATTACAGCACTAGCAATTATGTTTATGCCTAATGCTATTAGCTAATCGGATACATCTTAGAATTATGACAATAAAAGCATTACCTCAAAGACAAAAGATAGCAAAGCAGCAAGCACAAAACAATAGATATGAGCAAGAAAGTTATTTAGTGGTTTTAGCAAATTTACCAGGCTTATTAGTTTGTTGAACCGCTCGTCGAGACCTCACAGGAGCTGCCTTCGGTGACATATTGGTGGTGCCCTTCATATCTGCATCCGGCTCAGCAGATAACTGGGGGTGCTCATCAGATAATTTGGGCTCGCTCGTGGGCTTCGGATGTCGATCAGCTAATAATTGCAGATCTGCTGGTGTGCGCACCTGCTGACGACTCCCATCAGGGGTTTTAATGTAGATATTGCCCCCGGCAGTCCACACTCTCCTCACTCCAAAGTGCTCACGCGAGGCTTGAAATAAACCCTGGCGACTTCTCGTTAGATACTCCGAGATGACCAATGAAGTGCCCTTGAGTTTGGTTTTGCCTTTCCAAACATCATTACGTACGTCTGCATCAACAAAGCGCACCACCACAGGCCTTACACGTCTATTTGTGACCGATCCTAGTCTGAAACATGCCTTGATGGATGAAGTAGAGATTTCGGTAATACCAAGATGCTTCTTCAGTAATGTGGCAACAACAGTGCTCAGGTCCTCATCTTCACTTTCCGGGATGCCACTTATCAAGAGGAATTTCCTGCGATGCCTCATCACCATGTCATCAACAGTTCCAAGGAGCTGAGCAATTTGCTGCCTCAAAAGTGACAAAATGTTCCACACCAGCTCCCTGAAGGCATTAAAATCACTCTGAAGCTGCAAGATCCCATCCTTTCCATCACTGGCTGGTGACGCCGACTTCAGCTGTGCCTCAAAATCATCCATTCTGGCAAATAAAGTTGCTTCTATGGTCTTCTGGGTCTCCATCACTGCAGATACCGTAGCCATAGTGAGTAGTGAGTGAATGACAGTGATTTCTTAAGCGATGAAAGTAGAAAGGTGGCAGGTTAGTGCAGTCTTCAATTTAAACACACATCAAATAATGTTGTTAACAATATATGTCAATATATTGGTTGCTGTGATATAAATAAGCACACAGTTTGCCTAAAATTACAGTTTTTCCAATTATTTTAATAAATTATTTGAAGAGATGTGTTACTACTTTTTCTACACCTACCGCCCTTTTCTACACCTACCGCCGTCATTGTGTCATCTCATAGCCGGATTTGCTGTTACGTCATATTTTATCCGAACTACTAGGTTATCATGAGACTGGAAGAGTTCGACTACGCTAACAATGTTATCATTGCCATTGTTTGTATATTTTTTCCTAATCGCCTCCAATGATTTTCAAGTACATAATAACTACGAAATAATTACATTAGAATCATTATTAAATTTTTATTTGCTAATTTAAGTCACATATAAACATTTCATTGTTTGAGTGTGTGAGTGTGTACAAAAATTATTTAAAAAGTTAACGAAAATTATTCGGGGCTTTTTTTACCTTCATTCCTTTCATTCCGAATAAATATGTTTTTTTTTATTAATATTTTGAGCTCAACATGGCGATCAAAAGTACTAGGCCATCATAAAACCATTGGTATAGTTACCTATTGCTTCTCCCTCCACTCTGTCGGTGATTCGCCCGTCGAGCATGCGCACGCCGCCTATTCGTGCCCCCCAAGCCACGCCCACTCCACATTTGCGATTATTCGCGGTCATTGCTATCTGTAATAATGATGGTATGGTACCAACGGCATTAAGTTTTAATATCGTTGTTTAGTATTTTTTGACGTGACAACGTCTTAAATTAGGTTGCGGCTGGGAGTCACTTATGAAAAAGTGTAACGCTCGGTAACGTTACGATGAGTCTCTCGTGTTAAGTTTAAGTTTACATGTACAATGTTTTAGTAAACAAAATATATTTCTATAGTTAAAATTTGTGCAATTCTTATTTTCATTCAATTCCTTGTTCCTATTGTGCAATTTAATTATATTCATATCAATAAATATTCTACCGAGAAAAAGACGTTGTCACGTAAAATCTTCGCCCGTAAAACCGACTTTACAGGCAACCATTTTTTATATTTATTATGTTCTGTTTTTTTACATTTATTTAGTCTGATATTTTATATTAAGAAACCGAGTATAATTGTGATTGTTCCTTACTTCTCCAGCGCAACGAGTTCCGTGGGAATTCTTTTTAAGATTTTCATAACTTGGTTGAGGATCTGGATCATTGTCATTGCAATCCCAACTTATTTCCGGATCCTATAATAAAGATTGACAAAATTTAATGGTCCATTTAACAAAAGAATTAAAAAATGGAGAAAAACATAAGCGACGCTGTTAGTAAACGGGCGCTTTAAAAACATTGACGAAACATGTGTTAATAAAATAAAATACGTTGAAAAGACATGTCAATACGTCCCATGTGGGCGATTGAGCCAACATTTCTTTACTAATGTGGCTAGGCGAATTGAGGAGGTGTGGTATGCGTCATGTTTGTATGCGACGGAAACGCTCGAAGAATCCGTTGGACTCGCGAGGCACGTCGGATGGGCCGCGAAGTTACCAGGGCTTCATAGGCCAATAGAGATTAACACTTCGTCGAAACGTTTGCGTTCAATTTTTTACTTCATTGTCTTTATGAAGTCTTTGTAGTTTTGTGAGAGATGGTTTGAATTTTCGTGGTAAAAAGGCGCATCTTGCAAAGCAGAGATCGATTGGGCCACGACATGGCACTCCGATTGTTTTGACTTCTAGGTAAGTTTTATAATTCCTCAAATAAAAGTCAGCAAGTTGACCTTGAATTAAATTATTTTCTGTATCTCTTCTATTCTAGTAAAAGCAAAGTAAGCCAATGAATTTTCAATGTAAGCCTCTTGTCATCAAAAGTTCTTGAGACAAAGCAGATTTTCTGACTATACTTCGAAGGTTTAATTTTATGAAGATTATAAATAGTAATTTCTAAATAAGAATTTAACGCCTGACATTTTCGGCCGATATGCTTTATTTTGTAGCGCGAATGAGATAGTTAAAATTAAATTTAGAAATACTAAATTAGAGATACTAAAAATTTAATATAATATAAGAGGTGTCATGAAATTTAATAAATTTTATTATTACTTCATAAAGATTATATCAGATATAATCTTCATGATTATATAAATTATTTATCTTGAAAAAACTCTAATATATTATAATAGGATTTATTAAGGAGATATTATTTTAGACGTTTTTCAAACGTTGTATTTTCTTTCAAATTTTTGATAATGCTGGTTGTGATTATATATTTTAATTAACATGGAGTGTGGAGAATTTGATACTAATTTCAAGTTTGAAAACAGGAGCTTTAATGTATGCTGGTAGCGATAATTATTACGTCTTACTAATTTAAGTATGTTTCTTCACAAATTTGCAGGTTTCAGAGATATATGTGATGATGACCAATCTTTAAAGTGGAGGAACCGACAGTCGGTTTCAGACTATTTTAATACATCAGGGCATCATATGTGCGAATCGTTTATTCATACGTTGCTGTTTGATTACAGGTGTAATACGGTGACGATGAATTAGTTAACCAGCCTAACCACCGGAACACGATAAAGATGAGAAACTATAAGTACCTATGAAGTAATTAACAGCTACTGTTTATGTGTTTTCCTTCCGCGCCACAATATATAAATATCAGCCATTCTATGGTTTAAACTTAATTCAAGGCACTGTAAAAAATGTTGTTTATTACATTAACTTCCAAATTCAAACGTATTAATAAAAGAGTTAAGGTTTAAAACTGTGTGTACATTTTTAAAATCGTTTGTTTAAGAAACACCAACCGACATTTGGCGCATAGTCCACGGAAATTTCAACCGTCATCCACGAAAGTACCAGGAATACATAGACCAAGCAGAAGTACATTGTCAGCCGGATTGCTCCAAACGCCCTTTTTGCTTAGGAAATATCGAATAAACGCTCCACGGGTACCAGGGCCCCATAGCACTTACGTAGTTAGAGCGCAGGTCAGTATGGTTGTGTTCGACGCCGTCGTCGAGTACGGAAATGCGAACACCGCTTCCATTATAACCCATTTTATATACCGGCAGCACGTTCAGGTCGAGACGTGGCAGGTTGAACATAGTGCGAGTGTCTTGCTAAAAGCAAAAACAAACTATTTACAATACTATTTCCGCCTTATAACAAAACGTGAAATTAAGTGTGACTTGGTTTAAATCTTGTAATAATCACTTCATTTCTAGACATGCAATTCCATATTGGTGTAGATTCTGGCACGATTCTCTAAACCTAAAATTAATGGAGATGTTTTAAAAGTAGTAGTCGGTTTCCGGCAGTGACGAAACATATAATCATTTAAAAGCTTGTTTTATATTATAACATGAACAGAACTTGAAAAATTATATATGTATATAGCCCCAATCAATTTTAAATCGTCTTTAAAAATTAAATAATTTTGTAAGGATGCTGGCCACCCTGACATAAAAACGTCATTGCTATTACCAATGCAAAAGAAAAAAAAAAGAGCGCGAGGCATTTGAAAACCTCAGGCGGCTAGAAATAACAAAATGAAATCGTAAGCGTTAGCGTTTTCCAAAGCATTTCCGTTAGGCGATTGGTCCCCAGTCATGAGTGATATTCGTAAAATCGTGTTGAACTTATTATGATAATTTTTGATTGATTCTCCTTGCAATAAAATTTCCCAAAAAATACCTAGTATGTAATATTTTATTTTATTCGGAAAACGTACGTGTTTTTTTAAATAATTGTAAAACTAAACACCATTAACACGTTTTCGCATCTGACTTACATTACAAAGCTCATCGTTGAAACTATACAAGCAGTGCCAAAGTGAAATAGTTATTTATTATACAAGAGTGGAAAGTTCCTTTTTAACCGCGTGCTCGATTTGGATGACCGAGCAAGCGAAGGATTCTAAAGTTGAATCACGAGCGCAGCGAGTGATTCTAAATTAGAATCCTGAGCGTCAGCGAGGGAAACAAACGAGCACAAGGTGAAAAATCTTTCCACTCGAGTGCAATACGTAACTTTTCATCCCACCTCAGCGAGGAAATGACAAAATGAAAAAGAAAACAATTTATAATGACAAAATATTTTTATTTCAATTAAAACACATTAAGATAATCTATAAATTGAAGAAAATAATAAGAAGTAGAAAATAATTAAGAAATATTAAATGTAACGTTGCTACAGTTACTTATGTTAAGTTTAATATTTTTGTTAGGTAATGTTATGTTGGTGTTTGTGAATTGTGCGCTGTTTTGTGGTAAACTACTCGTATCAGTAATTTTAAATAGTTGTGCCGATTCATTGGATTCTATTGGCGTAAATGTTGGCGAGAGAGGGCTATTGTTTCCAATCTTATGGGGGCTCATTTTAGATGTAGAAGGGCGAGACCAAGAATCTGACAGAGGTTCTTTCAGCGTTATGGCCTCCACGATACTATTACAAATTTTTGATTTACTTTGGATTGAATCCTCTATGTATCCCTCTACAACCGAATTAGACTTCCAGCCTCCATGGCGCTTAAGCGATAGAAGATCAGCCCCTGATTCGGCCAAAAGTGTGGCTGAGGTTCTTCTAAAACAGTGACCGGTGTATAACGGGGGTTCTAAAAGTCCGAGAAAAGTTGCTATTTCTCGTGGAATACTGCCAATTTTATTCTGACCCATAGGTTGTCGGATACACTTTCCGTTGCGATATTGTAGAAAAAATCGTTCAATTGGGGTGTTAGAAGGACGTAAAGCTTGATATTTCTGAACAATGTTTACATATTCCTTGCGAATAACGAAGTTGCGGTCTTTTTTTGTCTTGGTATTTAGTACATTAATTAATAGCAATTCATCAGAATTATGAGAATATTTTGATACGTTATTGACATTAAGTAGTGTAAGTTCATTTGTTCGACATGCTCCGGTTATACCAATAATAAGAACAACCTGTAACAAAAGAAGTATTTATAATCGTAAATAAATTAATCAAATTAAAAATATTGTAAGTACTATGTACAATTTTATCAACAACAAAAAATTACACGTATTGACTTACTTTTGCCGCTAAATATACGGAATCAGGTGCTTCATTAATAAACTTTGCAATTTCAGATGCTGTGAAAACCTTCGATTTTTTTGGTTTATAACCAGATGAGGCTCTTTTTAAAAATGCCACTAATTTATGATAGGTGTCGATATGAACGTCTTTCTTCATCTTAATTGTTAATTTTAGCATTGAATACGTACTCCATAGCGTGCTTGCTTTCTTGGTCTCAGATAATTCTATAAAATATGCCAGCAAAACGTTTTCGGAGAAAGTTTTTGCTCCTTTAGCTAGTCGCCACACGTTAAATATATCGTACTGTTTCAAATACTTCTCTCGTGATTGCTGAGGGAGAAGGCTCATTTGCGCATTATTAACTGTTTCAGTTAACTCAGTTGGCGTTAGATAAACTTCATCGTCGCTAATGTCACTCATTTTAGTTGATTTTTTTGTACAGTTTTTAGGTTATGTTAATTATATTAAGCAATAAAACGTGAAAAACTAGAATGGCGCGAAGCACGCAAATAAAACAAAGAAACCAAGAAGGTTCCAAATTTAAATTTTTTCACAATTTAAAAAGTTCTAATCATAAATTTGGCACCATAGAGGTTACATTAAATAGGTTTAATGACGTTTTGAATTTACAATTATATTGAGTACTCATTATATGTGATGTTCTAAATTCAAATCTACTTTGCCGCTCAAGCGAATAAAATAGAATTTTCCAGCCAGATTTCGAAGCGCAAAATTACACTTTCCGAGGTGGTGGGATGAAAAATACTTTATTACGCTAAGCAGTTTGAGAATCGGCAAACCAAGAACTGGCTAAGGTATTTTTATATAATGTAACTAGCTGACTCGGCGAACTTCGTACCGCCCAAAAGTAATAATTTGCAATAAATTAAAATTGCGACTATAATTTGAGATTTAAACTATCCTATCTCTCAAGTTGGATCGAATTGCACATGGTGTTATTATAATCGGTTCAGTGGTTTAGGAGTCCATTGAGGACAAACATTGTGACACGAGATTTATATATATTAAGATGAAAGATGAAAAGAACAGAATAATTTAATATTGTTTAGCAACTTATTGATTAGATTACATTTTGATCCTTTGGCAACGAACGAATAGAAACTTGCCATTTGCCAGTTGATAAATTTATACAATTTTATATTATAATAATTATTAAAAAAACGGGGATTAAAATAAATTCTAGTTTCTTGGCTCACTGAGGTGACTGGTGATCAAAAGGCTGGCAGCTATCTTGGTCAACGGATCAGCCTTGCCATCCAACGTGGCAATGCTGCCAGCCTACTGGGCACCATCCCTGACGGCGCGGCGCGGGCGGCGCTGGGGGTGACATATTTTTTATTTTGTAAATTATATATTATTTTAGTTGTCAAGTAGGTTATTTTGACTGTAAATTTTAAATATCAAGTAGTTATGAAGTTTTTGTTAGTTAAATGTATATTTATTTATAATAAATAAATACACAGGTTTCTTTAAAAATAATTAATTAAATTATAATAAGGGCGTGACATATTTTTTTATTTGTAAATTATATATTATTTAAGTAGTTAAGTAGGCTAAGGTAATTTGGATTGTAAATTTAAGTCGTCAAGTAGTTTTTAAGTTTTTGTTATTAAAATAAAATCTTAAATGTTTCTTGGCAAATGATTTACAATTAAGTTCAATACATCTCATAAAAAATTAGAGTCTGCCGGAGACTCACCACCACCGTCCATACAAATTTAAACTGTCTATCTCTATACAGAATGAAAAGGCGAGAATTATGTTAAATTTTATTTTAAGTTTAGAGAATCAAACAAAATATAGACTGACTATCCTTAGGTACATATTATAAATTCTAGTGCTCCAATCCAAAAGCCTTATTATACTTACGAAGGAACTTAATTTTATCGATTAAATAAGAATCGCATTTGTAGTTTAGTCACCTCCGAGTATAATCTTTTTTATATTCTAAAAAGAATATAAAAAAAAATGGATGCGTGTAACTTATGTACGCGCGTGAGAAGTTATACTTCTTTAGCATCATTAAAAATATTTTTTAATTGCATGCAAATAATTAATAATTACAATAAAATAATAAAAGAACTGGAAAAGGATAGTTAACACAGTCAATTAAGTTCAGTTTTAATTTGAAAAATTAAATAAATATTCAAAATATTCAATTAAAATCACTACTGAATTTAAGTTATTAGTCCATATGTAATTAGCACTTGTAAGTAACTAAAACACGTTGTGTCTATATAGAAACTAGAAACATTTGGATAAATATTATAAATATGAAAACAGTGATCAGAGGCGACGAGCGTGCCAACATTGTTTTTGACAACGCGATCATCTTATGGAGCTCCGTGGATCGTTCAAAGTACCTTTCGAACAGATGTCTAATAATTTCAATTCAATTAGACACTAACATTCATAACGCTCCCGCGGCCAACTTCATGGTGTTACTATTGTGTTACAGTGATGCGCGCGCATCTCGAAATTTCACTCACATGATTTTTTCATAACGCGCCCGCGGCTAACTTCATTATGTTACTTTTGTGTTACAGTGACGCGCGCGCATCTTAAAATTTCACTCTCATAATTTTTTCATAACGCGGCTAAAGAAGTATAACTTCAAAAAGTTGCTAAGAATAATTAGTTGTGAACCGATTTAAATGAAATTCGATATAGCGATAGTTGGAGTCCCGGGAAAAGATATAGATTAGTTTTTATCCTAAGAATCACCCTTTTTAATCCCAGTGGAATTTGTTTGTATGGGAAACCAATTAACCCACGCAGATGAAATCGCAAACACCCACAAGTAATTTGATACATAGATCTATATTTTTTTTCCATATTTCATCCATGAATAAGCCACTTTCATGAGCCTGTAAAAGCTCAGTAAGCAAAGAGGAACACTGGATACTGATATTAGACAGGTTATTAGACAGGTGCTGGCAGGTAAACCAATATTCTGGATGACATCGTAGGCCATTTCAATGCCAAATGTAGTAATGACATGTTAAAGTATAAATGATGATGATATGGGATATACCAATGTATAGTTATATTTATATGTCTAATGCTACTGTGGTCACTTAAATACTTAGCAGACTTATATGTTTTTATAGAACCTAATTTTATTAATGTCAAGAAAAAAATATACTTATTAATAATATTTTGTACCAAATACCACTCGTGGCCCCATAATTCATCATTGAAGAATGGTCTCCTGTGATCTTCTGGACTCCTGGTGCGCCTCGGTATGTCGTTGGAAAGTTCCACCCTCTTCACCCGGTCCACAGGCTCATCCGGCCCCGGAGTAGGGTATCTTTTAACCCTTGATTTCGCGAATAATTGTTCCGCCCATCTCACCTGTTGACAGAAAAATAAATTTAATTTTTTATAAAACCATTTTTACTTATTAAAAGTTCAAAATATTGAATAAAAAAAAATGTAATAATTTCGTCTCGTAGCATAAAAAGCTCTAAATAATTATTTTGTCTTTCAACTACGCAGTAATGTTATCATTAATCACTACCAAACAGATCACAAAGGACGTATTTTTTGTTTAGAACCAAAACAAATGTTTTCCAATGATGCACTGTTTTATATTATTGTCGCGATAACCTCTTATAAATCGACGAACAAGAGATGCAAGCACGAAACAGTGTGACGTCATGTCACGAGTCACGTTATGTGATGTCAACGTTCCGCAGTGTGTGAGGCTTATGCTCTAAGGTGTGAGGTGATGTCGAGGGGTTCTTTCGACCCACGTTGTATAACACGACAGATATGGATTTTCATACAACTTTTGCTTGCCGCTGCTCGCATGTATTGCCAGTACAGCAATTTCAATTTATCTTGAAAAAGGTTGTCAAAATAATGTTCACATTTTCAAGCATGTTTGAGAAATAGTACATTGCTTCAGCGGCTAGCTGAAGAGGCATAAACAGACAAACGTGTAAATGTGTGTGTGTGTGGGCCGTAACTGTAATACATAAGTCCATCAATGCCTAATTGTGGCTAAGGCTTATATATATTTCTTTTCTGCAATAATGCACGGAAATTAAAGCCAAACATTATTTTTCAAAATCTATGAGGAAACAACATAATTTTTCTCTCGTTAAAGTGTTCATTTGTTTTTTTTTTTCAATAAACAGCTTTCTAATTGCAAACCTTACGAAATATAAACGAAAACTTTGATAAGTTACCTACTTGGGTTCCATGTTTTGAGTTTACTTTACTAAATAACCCGTGAATAAATAATAAATAATAACAGGTAACTTAGTCATTTAATAAAAATATTAAGCAAAACACGGTAAAAAACATTTACGAAATGAAGAATAAATAACAAAATGATTCTTTAAAGAAGTGACACGACAGCCTAATGTTATTTTTAACAATAGGCGCAGTTGCGCTGTCCCACAAAATTTGGGTTCAAGGCAACCGACCGGCCCGACACCGACAAACGAAATTGGGTCCACCGCAAAGACCACGTGTATTCCAACGATGAACCACCAGGCTTGCATAAGGTAACAAAGCTTTACTCGCCACATGAGCTTGTCTGACTCACCCTCCGGTCCTTTGTGAGTATTGTAGTGTGGGACGTAGGGGTTCGGCGCTGCTTTTCGTGTTCGTATTTCAAAAACGTGTATGTGTTCGGGAAGCCGTTAACCTGTGAAACAAAAAATGATCTTAATTTAAAAACAAATTAGGTATCCAATGCATGAACCATTTTATGGTGATGCGGAATAATTGTAGGGTCATTTTAAATTTGTTATTAATTAGTGCTCGGGAGACTGCTTTGTTTTACCCATGCAGACAGATAACGTACTCAAGAGATTATTTGTTACGATATGTAGGGTGTGCTATTTTAAGAGGGTGAGCTCTAATCTAAATATAGAGGGTTATGCATACAGTGAAACTAAACGAAATTGGTATATTTTGTAAAAAGTAAATTAAATTAATATGTTTAAAATTCTATGCGTTATGCTTGGACTTATTAAGAATTTAAATGAAATTTAATATTAATATAAACCAATGTTATTTCATAAGATTCGAAAATGACCTTAAAAGACTTAAAAGATGAAAAGGACCAATTCTGATATGATTCTCCAAACCTAGGAGACAACCATTTACCTTGTCATTCTATATAAAGATTTAAAAGCAGTGGTTGTTGTCCAACTTTGTTTTAAATTTAGAAAATGCCAGAGTCCGGCCCAATATCTTACAATGTTCCAATTTGGAATAATTGTTGGTGAAGATGCTGAATAGTCTGAGCCGAGCAGTGCTGTTCTGTTCTGTAGTGTAGTGTGATTTGGAATTAATTTGAAAATCTATTCTAATCTCAAACTACAACTCGGATTTCGCGGTCAAAAGAGAGTTTATTCGTACAGAATAGCACTGCTGGACAGATTAAGAGATCTCAATTTCATGATCATAGACCACAAGATCTAAGATATGAATATCATTCTGATGCAAATATAAATTTAAATTAAGTATAAGTCAGTAGGTATATAGATATTTAAAATAGAAATACCGTTCTTTATTATAACCACCTGTAAACAAGATGTTTAAACAAGAAAAGGATCGTCAATAAGATTTTCTACCTATTTGTGAAAAGGTTACACACGAGTAAAATAAAAAAAAATCTTGTTTAGCAGCCAAAACTGTCAACCCCCATTATAACGGTGGATTATCCAAAAGTAACTCTTGCATGTTCATCGTGTCCTAGTGGTTGGTGTCTGAAACAATGGAATGTAGGCGGCGCCCTAGACAATACCCGATTTTGGGCGGATTAACCCTGTGTGATTTTTGGCACAAACGCCTTTTCTGCCACGCGTAAAAAAATCCCTTTGCGTATCGCTCTCTGTTCATATTTTAAAACTTAGGTCCAACGCCTAGTCAGGAATACACATGCTACATAGTAGCATATAAGCATGCTAATTTTGAGCAGATGCTACTTATTAGGATACAATTAGAAGACGAAAAGACGCCCACCCGCGGACCTCGTTTCCCCCCAAAATATCTTAATTTTTACTTCTGCACAATAACGGACAGCGCTAGAGTTTTGGGCCACGTCTTATAAGCAACGGCGCGAGTGATATTTTTTGTATCGCAAGCGTATATATAGACCACGAGCTTGTTTGCCATCCTTTTAACATAAAAAAGTAGAGTTAGTAAATGTGTTCTATACAAGCATGCTAGTTCATTTGTTTGCGTAGTCACGATGGAGTGATGAGCTTTTTGACGTGACAACGTCTTAAATTAGGTTGCGGCTGGGAGTCACTTATGAAAAAGTGTAACGCTCGGTAACGTTACGATGAGTCTCTCGTGTTAAGTTTAAGTTTACATGTACAATGTTTTAGTAAACAAAATATATTTCTATAGTTAAAATTTGTGCAATTCTTATTTTCATTCAATTCCTTGTTCCTATTGTGCAATTTAATTATATTCATATCAATAAATATTCTACCGAGAAAAAGACGTTGTCACGTAAAATCTTCGCCCGTAAAACCGACTTTACAGGCAACCATTTTTTTTTATTATATCTATGTTTTAATCTAAGGTTGCAAGTATTAACTGAATTTAATTAATTCCGCAAATAAACGTCTATTTTAAATGCTTATCTCAGACATGCTACAAAGAAGCATGCTCTTAATAAGTATGCTTCCGAGGTCTGTGCTTTCATAAAAAAAAAAAAAAAAAAAGGTCTGTGCTTTCATGAGCAAATGTACACACTCGGAGAGCATGGTTATAAATGAGCATACTACCACAGAAACTACCTACTCAACTATCAAAAACATAATATTATCAATTACTGTCTCGACTATACGAGTAGATCGAAAAACACTGGTATGATAGATTCTATTATTCAGAAAGCCGTATAAACGTATCTAAACGTATCTTTTGGGATTTCATTGCATTGAACGCTTTTAGACTGTAAAAACATGTTGAGTTAACGTTTACTCGACGGATTTATGTTACAATCACTCGATAATTGTATAAAGACATCTTCCGATCATTTTCATACTACCATAAGTCTTATGACAGCTCTTTGAAAGCAATTGAATTGCCAAATTGTCGTCAAACCTGCTTTTACAGCACAGACGAAAGATATTCGACAACTATTTCTTAGAACTATATTGTAGAGAAAAGGCAATTCATTCAACGAAATAGAATCGCAGTTACTATCTCAGCACTAAATGTTATATGATAGCTTTCTGGAAGGCTATCATTCCACCTAAATCTCAAAAATGAGAAACCGCTTCCAAATCATTCTCTCTCTTCTTTCTTTCTTTCTTTCAAATGATTCTACAGAATCGGAGGTAGTCTAAACGTTATATGAAAAACAACATATAGCGTAATGAGCGTTAAATGAAACCTTTTATATCACACTGTGAACGGTATTTTGTATCACTGTAGAGAACAACGGTAATGGCGCTCTTAGAAGTCGTTAAGTAGAACTCTCTATTCTATCTCTCGGCTAAAAGTAGAGTGAATGCTTCGCGATGATAAAATAAGTTGCCATTAATGGCGAGTAAATTTTAACAATTATATTATTTTCTATCAATATTTAGAAATAAATCTTGCGGCAAATTGTATAAAAATATAACATGAAATATGAGGTTATCAGACAAAAAAAATTAATCCGTATATGAATTTGAAAGTAATAGTTTAGGATAACTGAATTATATGTGTAACTGTAAAATTGTTGCACAATATATAAAAGGCAGAATCCATATTTATTTTCACTTTATTCTTTTCATGAACTTGCACAAAATTGACGATGAATAAAACGTTCTTTAAGCGTTGCATGATATCTTTTACGCGATTAAACAGCCGAATGATAGCAACCGGAATTTTACTTTACTACAAATAAGTCGAATGAAAGGGATTCTACCGACTTGTAAACAGCTAATTTGTGGGATGACTCAATATTCTTTCAACTGTTTGGTAGTTCAAATGATAATTTTACAAGATTCATAGCATTGAATGCTGAGAGAAGTGCGCCTAAATCGCTTTGAGAGAACGTGCACAGATCGCTCACTAGACATTTTGAAGAACAGTCTCGCCACTAATAGCTGAAATAGAAACGGGCTGCTGATTTTTTTAAAGATATAGTTTTGCTAGTTGGGTAGTCGCAAACAACCGTGCTTTTTAGTAGCAGATCCATGGAATGACGACCGAAACACCTTTCAAGTAAAAACAAATTATAACCAAACCAGAAAAAGAACTAAAAAGTCAAAAACGAGCTCAAAGGAGTCTGCGTATACCGACTACGGCATGAACGTTTAGTTCGTGCATGGAGCTCCGTGAGTTCGTGTAAGGCATGATTTTAATTAGCCTAAAAAATCAGTACAGTATCAGTACAGTGTGAATGGCATTGTAAAATTGCTAACTAATAAGGTATCTACATTTGCTAATTCTAAATTAACTGACTCAAAAAAGTAATAAATAAAATCTTTTTTTACAAGAATAAAACCGACTTTATGTTCTGAAATAAAACCACTAAAAACTAATTAATTCATTCTTAAACTTTATTTAAATTTTAATTACTCAAATTAAATTAAATTTATTTCAAGTAAAATTAACAATATCTGGAGTCGGTGCAAGGCAAACAAACATAAATAGATCTAAGTTATTGTTCAACTTGGGTTAGCTGGTACCTGTTAATTTTACTTCAATTGTATGTTTCATTTAGGTTAAAGATAAGTTGAGAATCTTTCCTGATTTTTGTGGTTTTATTTAGGATATTGTTTACTTTCTTAAAACATCTGAAAAGTATACATATGGCGGAACCGAAAATTTAGGTTCCTCTATTTTTGTGAAACCACCGTGTTTTTTGCATTATCTTGCCAGTGTTTTTTACATAAATTAACCAATAGCCAATGTTAGTTTAGGGAAATAAAACAATTTGCTTTTCAAAATATATCAGGCGTTCAGTTTTCAATAACAACGTTACAGAAGTACATAATAATAATAAATAAGAAAAAAGTCATAGGTATTTTTAATGTAGGTGGGTACTATGTCGAAGATACATTATAAAGTTATGTAAAATAAATAAAGCTAATAAAGCTTATCTAAGTATTCCGAATAGTACCAAGTTTATATATATACTGTGATAGTACCTAAGTATAAATTAATATACTAGTCAGTTACGCTTATGTCATGTCATGTCACATGAAAATGGATGCCGTCATGTGATGTCCCAAGCACACGTATACACTAGGGCACCAGAAACGACATGAGGTTTTGTTCGCTGTACGTATATCTACGGGGGAAACGAGGCGCACCACACATGCATTGCATAGCACCACCACACATGGTTGCGGGCGTGGCATAAAGAGTGTTGGTCTGTTGCGTTATATGCTTTCTAATCACACACATGGTTGTTGAATGTTGTGTAGGCATGTAAAAAAATATAAGAAATCATCTTTTACTTTGTTTTAAGAATTTATTTTTGCTTTTATAATTTAAATCGTAGGTAATTCTGATAAGCACCTCACTGATTGCACATTTTTTTACAATCATTTGTAACAAAATGAGTATTATTACTACAACACAATTGCGTGTTTCACACATGCATTACAAGCTTAATAAACTACTTCACACATACACTATCTAATACAATTATTATGTTAGTATGTAGCAAGATTGCGTAGAGTTAGCATT